GAATGCCCCATATTACCATGATAAGAAAGAAAGATACCTCAGAATTTCATTCCTCCCTGTGACGGCCCACTCAAAAATGGCGTATTTTTTCAAGCCAGCACAATTCAAAATCAAGACTTGTTAGGAGAAGTAAGGGAACTTGTTTTCTACGCCAGTTTTATGGTGGTACTAAATTGCTATAAAAATGGACTGTGGTCTAGTTGCAGTAATTATAAATATTACTTTGGCGACAATAGATGCAGCTCCAACAATTGGAAATTTTGAGTCTGCTTTTTCTGATACAGTGATCTGTACGCCGGGGAATTTCTCTTGCAGCATGGCCTGATACGTTTGTTTTGGACCAACTGTGTCAACATACGCCTAAACAATTTCCTATTTCATGAGAATTCGGATCAAACTATGAACAACAGATGATCACAGAACTGTTCTTTTTTTTTTTACACTTTTCACTGGAACCGTTGTACTCACTGAAACTGCAACAATTTCTCGCTGAACCACGGTAAAGACATGCCCAACTGTAACAATGAACTATGAAGCAAACAAATTTTAGTGAAGGAAAACGTCTCACTTTGGCCTCAGTTATGTTTTTGTTTAAAAAAATTTATTCAAAAAAAAAAACACTACGGCTATTCAAAATCATGTGTCTTGAAACATTAAAAAAAAAATTTGCTGGACTATTCAAAATCATATTCTTCCAAAAAACAAAAAACGGCGCATTTATTAAAGAGTTATCGCAATTTCCATATGTTTAAGGCATCATCAGCCAAAAAACTTCTTTTCCCTTTACTTTTTATTGTTTTTCCTATCCGCATTTTTATCAAATTATAACTTTTTTAATCAGCTTATCATCTGAATGTATCAAATTAAAAGCATCTCATGGAAGCCCAAACAATCAAAAGTATCAGTCGATTTACAAAAAAGCAAGCCGACTTCAGTGATATTGATATTGCTGAGCAAAGCTGACTGCAACAACTTTATGGCACTATCATGCGACAGTTCATTAAGCGAGCACTTCTTTCGCCTCAGCATGGCTGCACTGATCATCTGCGCCGACAGCACACGGTATCCATAAGCAAGGGCCTGGAATTTTCACTGGTTAAATTTGAGAAAAAGAAACGCAGTAGGCGCAAGGAAGCGATTATCACACTGCAAAAATAGCTACAATAACTTCTACGCAGCTCTCGAAAGACGGAATTGTCTGCCACCACGGAATTGGTTTTAACATGTGCTGACACTTACGGTGCTTGAGAATAGTGCAGTGCTAATGCAGCCCCTGACTTTCATTTTCTAACAATTATTTTTAAAGTATTCCTTTCTATACCAGCGTCAAAAATCTTTCAACTACTCTGAAAGAACAGCTGTGTATTTGGACTCTTTCGCAAAACATCTACACGCTTCAATCTTGAGGAGTAAAATGATAATCAGAACCGTATGCTGTTTCATTTCCGCAAAGATACTTTCACGTTTCGCCTCTGTCAAAACCTTGGAATCGTCAGCACCTGAAATTCACGAAAAATAAGTCTAAAGAACACCTCTGTTAAAGATCATTAAATTAGTGAACAAGGCTGAGGAATAAGTTTAAAATCACAGAAAAGCGAGGCGTGCAAACAACTTGCCAAAGCGTGCTTCTGCTAAATTTACCAGGCCATCCCCTCCTGCCGAAATTTTTAATAATCTTTTTAGTAAAAATACTGGAAGGCGCTTTTTTCACCTAATATCTAGCCTCTGTATATAATTTAAAACCCTAACTAGTCGTTGTTTCATCCTGGCATTTTTTTTATCATTGATGCAGTTGGCATCATTTCCATCCCTGCTATTTTGCACGTCCCCATCTGCAAAAATTTCATGCAGTCGTTCGAGCGAATCCCTTCGCTGTATTTCCCATCATCCTGTATGCTTTCAGCATCTCCCGGGTATCATTTAGTAATCCACTTTTTCCATCTGTTGTATTTCACTCTTGCCAAATGACCAGCCTAACTCTTCTTCCCGCGTATGTTGATACTGCCCACATCAGACCGGACTGCATTTCGTGTTAAAAACGTGCTGCATTTTTTACCAACATCAATCACGCATTGTTCCATGGCTCGATGAAACACTGTCAACTTTTCCTCTTCAGCGAGAACAGTATTCCATTTTTTCACTTCCACACAATAGTGGAAAACATCCCATTCACAGTCAATAATGCCTTAAAGTCAAATTACGTTTCTTGAGTTGGTGAAAGTTATCTGTCGTATTCTTGTTCTTTCGATTAACTATAGTCCAAGTCACTGTTTATCTGTATTGTTTGTCCCAAGTAGGTATGGCTGTCAATAAGATCAACAAACTAATTACTGCTTCTCATCCACTTGGTTTTTCCGTGGATTCGGGGTCCAGCTTCCATCACACTCGTCGCATGCTGATGTAACAGATGCTGCATCGCTTGCAGGTTTCACACAGTGAGCATAAGATGATAGTCTGCGAAAATGAGCATCCGAATATCTCACATTAGTCTTTTGTTCTGCTGCCTTCGGTAGTTTCTTCCTTCGAAAATTGTCATAATTTTCTTGACTTCTTCTAAGCTCTTTGCAAAGCAATTTATGTTGCATGCCCATGCAACATTCAGCCACCAAATTTTTCCAAAAAGCAAGAGATCCTTGGCTTAGGAGTTTTCTGGACTTTATGATCCCTGCTGCGACAAGAGTTCGGCAGTTACTAACGAAGTTCAGCAAGAGCTCGGCAGTTGTAGTCTCCATTTTCACCACTTGATTTTCCGATTCTCGTATTCAACGGCTCTAAAGAAAAGGCTGAAGGCGACCTATTTTCACTGACGCAATTTAAGGCATTGCGCGAATCCGTTCTTACAAACTTCATTTCTGGCTTCTGGCTCCCATGAGATAATAGCAATAAGCGTACAGGAACATCTGTTTCCCGAATGAGGAAACACACTGACAACCAATCTTCGCCTGTCTTTGAGAATTTAGTCCTAAACAAAAAACTAATGCCTCTATGCTATCAGCATGAGATCTTTGCAAGCAACGAACCCATTTCTTTGATAATATCTTCACTGCCGACCAACGAAACAGCGCATGCGTAGATCATCGGTCCGAGTACTGGTCCTCGACCGGCCTCATCAATGCCTATAGCGCAGGGCATGCCTTCACCAAAATTCTTGAAATTTTCACTGAATTCGATTGCCGGTTCCAGAACATCCGAGATGCCTTTCGCATGCGCCATTACCTGAACAGTGCATCATTAAATCACTGGATTAGCATGTTTGTTCCCACAGAAGATCTATCCCTTGTTCAGTGCCAACGCATTTGGAGCAGCGGCATACGACGCCAATTTAGACCGAAAATCGAGCATTCTACTCCGTCAGTGGGACAAACAACCCTTCGAAAACTTGTTTTTTTCGTGGTAAACCAGTGTAAAAGCACATGTCGGAAGTTAAAATAATCATTAACTTGTTTTTCAAAAAAACCTATAAGAGAGGAAGAAATCGATCTTGCAAACGCCGTCATTTAGGCTTTATCCTGTCCTCTCAATGCTTATTACAGCGTGAAAAAGGATTTTTGGTTTTGAAAGTATTGCAGTGGCAATCGTAAGAGAATTCCTGCCTCAAACATGTACTTTTCTAGCTAAAAGTACTCGCCGAAAGACCAGTTGTTTTCAGGGTTAAAAATCTGCGGGGAAAACTGTGCCAAAAACGCATGCAAGCACCGGCAAACCAGGTGCATCGCTGCTTCGATTTGGTTCTTATTTCCGATGATACCGCCGAATTTCTCCGCACTTCGCATCACCCATTTGGTGTGGAACATGCGCAAAAGCTCAAAATCAAAGTCGATAAAAAGTTGCAAGTTGCAGCGACAGAAATTCACACTGAGTTCCAAGAACTCAGGATTTTTTACGACAGTTGCTATCTAAGTTGAAAATCCCTCAAAACAAAATTTGGTAATTTTAATACTTTTTTTTTAAACGAGAAATACTAATTGCTACAAAAAATTTGGGCTTCTAAAAATGAGTGAAAAGAAAAGCACAGCTATAGGTAATCAAGGAGTGCTGATAGCTTCAGCAGACACGATTCAAATTATTTACATACAGCGATTTATCAAATAATATCGTGCCCGACTGCATCAACAAGCGCAGCAAACACGGAAGGTGCGGGAAATATCACGAAAAAAATACATCAAAACTTTTACTGAGCACCATAGAAAGATACTGAAAAAGAAAAGCAGTACTGTGTTGAGAAACGCGAAAACATCTTTCACTTCCCTTAAGAAATGCTTCACATTGCAGACTTCTTCATGATCAGCCCACTGATTTTGTTGCAGTTTCGCTTTCGTCTAGTTGGCGCTTCAGTCTTTCATTCTCATGGCAAGCCTGGAAAAAAACACACAACAAAACTACGATGACGGAAACGAGCTGGTAAAGATAGAAGTACTTATGAGACCAATAAGACAATATGTCATTAAACATTACAATACTCCACAACAACGAAAAATTATTATTCTAAGGTTCAGGAGAATACGAGTAGTGAGGAAATTTCCGCTATAAAATAATTATAGCTTCACAAGTCTGGAATAATTGGATTAGCTGTGATTCGTTGTGACGTCCTCCAACTGTGCGCCTGTTTTGATTCACGCTGTAAAGCGTGCTAGCCAAACTACTAGCGAACCTGATGTTCGTCTAAAAGGACCGTTTGATTAACGGCCCTTAAGTTGTTTTGAAATAATTTTGATACGTGTTGAACAACATCAGTTTATTCCGAATGATATCAATCCTGCATCACGAAAAGGAAACTTCTGCCTCTGTCAAGGAAACTTCTGTTATACCTAAACAAGTGACTATGGCAAGGAGATATTTTGCACTTCTTCTTGAAGTTTTCGAGATTAGCAGCGAATTGAACGTCAGGTGATACAGGACAGGGTGAAAAAAAAACATGGGAAGGGGTGCTAGCTGTGAAGGTAGGAAGCAGTATCCGTTCAAAGCAACAAAACAGGCAAGCATAACACACACTAACACAAATTAACTAACATTTTTGAAGTCCTCAACAGTCTTATAAAAGAGCCTTTCCTTTTCGAGCAGGCTCTGGTACTCATCACTCAATGCGTCTTTTCGCGTTTGTAACTCTTTTTGCCGTATGAGAATCTGCAAATATGAGATAAATGGGAAACTATAGCAGAAGGCTACATCTGTGAAAGAGAAACAAATTCACTTTTATTTCTCTTTCACAGATGGAGCCTTCAAACTTTGACACGAATGACAACTTAAAGCCTAACCTATTTTTTACGCCTAGCCTACTTTTTTCCACTTCACTCTTCTTATTATTTTCATCCGAATTGCTTGCTCTCTCTCTCTCTTTTTACTCTCCCTTCGCATGCACAGATCTCACGTGGGGACACATGAACTTTTTGACGCCCAAACCAATCATTCTGGAATCACAAAAGCTAGGAAGTTGAAATTTTAGAAGGATGTTCCCTGCTCGCGTAGGGCATCCATAACTTTAAAATCAGCCTCCAAGCGCGCCTCCGTAAATTTTTGGCGCAAAAACTATTAACTCGGAAACCAAAAAAGCCAAGAAGTTGAAATTTCAAAATAATGCTCCCTGCCCGCTTGCAAACTGTCCCTGCGTACGCCCGGGTATCATGCACAGGAATGTGAAAGTTCCGGCGCCAAAATTCATGACTCGAGAACCGCAAAAGCTAGGAGGCTGAAATTTTCAAAAAACACCCCC